TTATTCTCCATTTTACAAATTAGCTAATTAGTTACTTTATTTGAATGGTCTGTAATGAGGAGGGGAGGGGTGGTGGTAACTATTGCTATGAAAACATCCAGTAATGTATGGCTTCGCGCCATATGATTGCTAGGGCCTAAGGGGGGGGGGGGGAGCCGCAAAACTTAGGTTTAAAACTTACACTCACTATTTTCTTCGAAAATATACATGAGTTCCACAAAATGTAATTACTTTCATTTTCAACCATTTGCTGTGAGCTTCAGTTACTTTCAGATAGAGATACAATACTCTTCGATTTTCATGGTATTTTCTTTTCTATCATGCTTTATTTCTTTGTCCTAATCCATCAAAAATAGTAAAATGATGTAGATCTAAAAAAACGAGTTACATGTAGTTAATTTTATTTATTATGATACATCATTTTTTAGTTCTTTAAATATAATCACTTAGTATCGCAGTGTTGTTGATAAAAGAGATAAGCGTTGCATTCAGATAATATAATAAAACATATTTTTTATTATTTTTTCTTTATATATCTTGGCCTTCCAAAAGAGCTAAAGAAATATTTACATACATAATTTTTCATCGTTTTTCGCTATCATATCTCGATTCAAATTCCAGTGGACCATTCGTCCATTGTTTGTTTGATGATACAGATAGATTGATGTAGAGTATGTGATTGGTAGTCTTTCACGAAAAGTTCGAGATTTTATTATCTTTCTCACTTTAGATATAGGCAAAAGGAGAATTTTTACAAGTGTTATTTTTGTTTCTGTCAGAAAAATAGAACATTGTTCTTTTAAAAATACTTATAGTCCAAGTTTTTGCAATCGTTATGATGGATCTGTTACTTGCTAAAATGATTTCTTTCTTATAATGATCTGGTGAACCCGCTTACATGATACGCTGAAAACAACGAAAGAAACATTTCATCTTGACAGAAATTTTCATTAATCGTCTTTATTGTGTTTGGACACGCGGAAATTTTCTTTATGTGTGAATAAATAGTTCCAACGAAGCAACTAAATCTTTATCATGAAAAGAAAAAAAATATGAACCATTTATTTCATTTTCTTTACAGTGAAGTTTTGAAATGACACACATTAGAGCATACTCTTGTCTCTTCTATTTAGTAGTCTATTGAATCCTATTAATGACTGGTTTGACAGCAAGTTGTGGATTATTAATTTCTAACACACGTCGAGCGATTCGTCTTACATCAACGGTCGGACTGTTGAGGTTTGTAAAAAGTACAACTGTTATTTCATTCCCTGGAACACGAACAATCATTGATCGAAACCCTTGCCATGATCCACCATGTTCGAGAATGCGCATTCCATTTATCGCTTCTAGTAACCACCAACCAAATCCATATGGGTACGTTGTGTTATTGTTCAATTTAACAAGACTCCACATTGCATCGAAACTTGTTTTCATTTTAAGTAACTGATTAGTATAAAGTGCTTCATCCCATTTGGCCATATCATAAATATTCAAATACAGACTTCCATCAGCTAATGTGTTAAATATTGGTGAGACCCATCCATGATTTTTTATTTCACCATTAACTAATATGTATCCAGAAGCGCGATTAGGAATTATCTCAGTTTCATTGATTATTTGTGCAGTGTTCATTCCAAGAGGATTAAAAACATTCTCTCGAAGAAAATCCCCATAAAATTGGTTTGTCACACGATCAATCAAGAATCCCAGCATAACATAGCCAAAGTTACTGTAGGTCCATTGTTCACCTGGTTGAAAAGTAAGCGGACTCTTTTGAATTAATCTATAAATATCATCGTTGGTATAATCAAAATGAAGATTAAAATCAGCTGAATATCCGGCCATTCCAGATGTATGAGTCAACAGATGTCGAATTGTAATGTTATTCCATTCGATAGGTGCATCAGTAAAATATTTCTGAATTTTATCATCTAAATCAATTACTCCTTTTTCTACAAGTATCATTATAGCCATCGCAGTAAATTGTTTGCCGATAGAACCAGACTGAAAACTTGTTTCAAGCTTTACAGGTACTTTATGTTCAATATTTGAATAACCGTATCCTTTACCAAAGATGATCTTACCCCGCTGAAGTACTGCTAGTGATATACCAGGGATTTTATATGTTTCTCTTTCGACATTGATCATTTCATCGATCTTGTCAGCAATGGTAGGCTCGATTCCTAAGATAGAAAAAAAACATAGATGACTCCTTCATTCATTTTAAAACATTATGCCAAAGAAAGTTCTCAAAAAGGAACTACTGATTTATAACATGAGACATTTAAGTCTTTCAGAAAAAGAAAATCGATGGAGACAGTTACTAATTAAGTAATTAAGCGAAAGACTCTGAGCAAAAATGACTTTATCAAAAGGGTAGTTTCAATGAAAACTAACTGACAAATGAATTATTGCTGATTTTAGATGCTGAGAAATGTGCTGAGATTGTGAGTATTTGAACAACATAGTACTTCAATTTAAAAAGACTATCTACTCCATCTTTAATGTTTGTTCTATTTTACTGATATTGGATCACAATTTCTATGAACGAATATATGACTATAAAAATTCTTTTTTAGACTCAAAAGATCTTACAACAGCATTCATACGAAATCAATGTATGAACCGTGAGAAAGGTGCTTTCTTCGTAAATGATGATCAGGACTTTACGTTGGTCTGAGCTTCTGTTCTAAAACTACTTTGTTCATTCAATTCTAGTTCAATATTATCATCTAATTGATATATGAACAAAACTAAATAGGCAATTTAATTAGTACAAGTATGTTATATTTTGGATAGCATCTTACAATAGAGTTCATTTGATTCCATTGAGACCTTCTTTTTATCAATATCGCGGGTTCAACGAAGATCTCTCAATACTTTTCCACTAAAAGTAAGAATAAAACAAAAGAAATATACTTTTTGCAGTTCATGAACAGAGTTTTTCACTATATTGACATAATGAATCGATACCTAATTTCATTGTAATTGAAATAAAAATATTCTTTAAACTCAATCTTTCGAACAATGATTAGATGATTCACTAATCAACTATTAGGCTCGAGATTAGAAACCGAAACTAACTTACCAACCATATTCTGTGACCATGACACCTGTTGATTATTTGCCGTATAAACAGTGGCAGATTGTAGAATAAGAATATAAATAAAGAAACTATAATATAAAACCTTTAGACTTCTTTCATTTTGTACAGAGAAAGGAAATACGTACCAAGGTATTTGAATCATTATACAAAAACTTTCTTTCCGAAATAGTATTTTTGCTTTTTTGAAATATCTTTGCTTTATTCAAGCATTGTTTTTCTCTTTGTAGTCAAATGTTAAAAAGATTATGTCGGAGTGAAAGAATCGTTGATATTTACTAGAAAAAAAAAGATAATCTAGATAAATGTTGTTTCATTACTTTCCTTCAGAACAAATAGTAATTCATGTAGTTGTGTATTAATTGGGATATCTTGTTTCATATATCATGTTTTTCTTGATTATTTGCTGCAATAACGATATTTCATAATAGATGATAAGCCTTTGACTATTTTCTTATTGATTCATTCATCGTCTCAATGCTAGATGTTAGCTATTTTGGAAAAACCTACCGTGTAATTACCAAGTATTGAGTATACTCTCACCTATCGGTATAGAGTAAATGACAGAAGCATAACAAAAAGTCTTTAGACTGTTCATTCAGTGAGTTTCTTACTTGGTTGTTGTTGAGCTGAAAAACTTTATTGATTGTCAGTGGTTTCGAGGAAATATTTTTATTGATTTTTTTAATCAACTAAGACGATCGAGAGTTTGATGTTGTTAGCTATGAATTTGGTAATGTTTCAAATTCTTTTTCAATTAAATGACCGCGAATCATAAAGCGCAGCCAAGAAGATGGAATTGATCGAAGATTTTGATAGTTTGATTCTTCCAGATTGCAATCCATTATTAAAAGATTCATTACCTTCCGTTTGACATGATATGATGTCATTAACTGTTTTTCAATACAATTAGACAAGAATATATGTAATATACGAATATATCTTCTACATTAGTTTTAAAAACTAGTGTCCGTCTTCAAGCTTTAATAGCACAACGATCCAAAGAGTTGCGACAAGCTCAACACACGCACGCTTTTGTATATGCCCAAAATCGCCATTACACAGATTTTGCAAAAGGTTCTGAGACATTTCTAATCAGCTCCTCAAAATTGTATGCTCCGTTCGAATTGAACTCTATATAGATAATAACTACAGTAATTAGTTAAGCTGTCATATCACATCATACTTGGTACTTAGAACATGTAAATTGAACTAATAATGCATGAAAGCATGTTATATTGAGGAATGAATCAATATTTTACATCATAAAACGTGAAAATGAAGCTAAAATATGGCGTACAAAACGTGAACGATGGAAATAAAGCTGTATGTAGATTACATGAATGGATGCGCTGATACTCATATTAGCTNTATAGAAATTGTTTCAATTCAATGTATACTTGATCACGCTCTTCAATTGCAGAAAAAATAGGTAAGAGATTAATTCCTTATTTTTGCAATTATTATATGAAAGTGATGAAATAGACATATTCAAGCTTTTTTGGTCGAGCATTGATAATCAATACGTTGAGCTTTTACCTTATTGAAAGATACAGGGTAGTGCTTGTTTTGATGGGATTATTTTTTCTCTCAAAATGTATAGCAGCTTTGGCGAAGAATGAGATTTCTAATAAAAATGATGATCCGCCTGAATCATCAAATAATTGGTATTATTCACCAAGTGAACATTATTGAAAATAAAATTTACCGAAGTATTTATATTTCTCAAATATAGAGCTCAACAACTATCCTATGTGATTCTAAAGTATCTAGGGTATTTTTGAGAAGCTTTTTCGTGATACGGATGAAAAAATTAGTTGAAGCTAATTTTACATGTTTTGTCTCAATCTGATTTAGATTTTCTGATTCTTTTCAAATTATTTTAGATACCAAAATGTTTGATCAAAAATGTTTCTTTTCAAGCCAAGGGGTTTGCAGCAATGATGTCGTAGCATTATCTGATCTTCGATATGAAGAAAATAATATGAAATGTTTTCCAGGTGCAAATACACTTACTGAAATTTTATTGCTTTCTGACGATCGTTTTTATCAAGATCGTCTCTCTTTACATTCTACGTTTGTTTGTTCTGAGCACAAAGAAAAGCTTCTGAAAAAACATTGTATATTATCTTATAGAAAATGCTGGTTGTGTATATTGCTTCAGAAGGCAACACCTGTAAGATTTCCATTATATTTGCTTCAATCTGTAACCACACTCTAATTTCTTATTTAATAGAATGTATCTGAACGTAATATTAATCCTATTCAAGCTTTAACTATTTTTGAACAATTCAATATTCCTCACTATTACGGCAAAGCAATTTGTGGTAGTTGTCGAAAGTCCTTAACGGCACATAATGATATTGATAAGATTGTAAAACATAAAAAAGCTTTCGAATGGCTCGCTGATGCCGCATTTAACGATAATGACACTAATGATACTCAGTCTCATGATAGTTATGAAGAATATCTTTTGAATTCGTCACCAAACAGCGGTATTGAAGCAACATTAAATCTAAATAAGAAAAAAAGAGAACTATTGAATGAATTTTTGTACTTATGTGGATCAAAAGTGGAGATAAGAACGACTAATGCATATCACAAACTTCAAAAGCAATCAAGAGCAAATTTCCTCGCATCAGCTCGCAATTTAATTCAACATATTATGAAATTTTTAGCTCAAGACGATTCAAATGACGTGAAACAAGATTTGTTCTTTTTTGAAAATGGTAACTCTAATAACGTTCCAAGATTTCGTAGAATGTCTTTTGCCATTGTAGAGTCGAACACAACTGTGTATGATCGTCAGCTGGTACCTGTCATGAATGGCATAGCCGAAGCTTATGAGAATGCTGAAAATTCATATACTCGTCGATCTATATTATCAATTGTAGCACCTAAAATAAATTTCTCAATTATACAATCATTTATACCGAACATTACTTATTACCGATTTCTTGCTGCTCGATTACATGCTACCAGGGCAGGTTCAGGTGCGTTAATTGAACGTCCTCCTCGTATTGTTTGCCGATTCGAACCAGCGCAAGTTCAACATTTTATCGATTTTATTTTGAGCAATTATGTATGTACGGACATTCCGTTTGGGGACCGAACACTTACATTATCTAATGGCACAAAGTTACATGTTCCTGATACAATCAGAAATTTTGATTCCACACGTATTATAATGCAATATTACAAGTATACTACAGAATATTTTCCTGGATTTTCTGTTTTGCAAGAATCAACTCTATTTAAAATTCTGTCTGAATGCAAAGCATCTACTAGAAGAGCAGCTAGCGGCTTAAATTACTTTGCTGCTAACGGTAGCGAAGCCTTCGACAATATTATAGAGTTAATTAATGGTCTTAGTATTGATGCAAGTGAACGTTGTCGTCTTGCCAATAACATAAGAAAAGGCAAACAATATTTGAAAACGGACTTCAAAACCAACGTAGCACGTACATCACGTGTTCCTGAGCATTGTATATGTTTTTCGCTCAGTGATCCTACGTCCATGGCTTTTTCAATACCATGTTCTGACCATAAACATGATCAAGTATGCTCTGAGTGCTTTTATCTCGCACAAGCATTACAAGATAGCAGTCGAGCAATCGAAAGCAGTATAAATGACGAAGAAGAAGTTAAACGAAAAATTTACAAGTTTACTCTTGCTTATGATGCTATTCAAGCTTGGAAATCCCATCAGTTACGGTCTGTTAATCAAGATCTCGGAAGGGAGTGCGTTTTAGATGTTTTGGGTGAAGATACAATCTACTTGAATTTAGATTTTGCCATGAAGTAAATATAACTGATTTTCTTAGCATTTTTTTAATAGCTACATGTCGTAACCTTATTGCTCTTGGGAAGACTTATCTCAAAGACGTTAAATATAACTATTTATAACATTGAATAATATCTACTACGATTTGCATTTTTTATACTATAGAATAAGAATATATGACGGAATGTAAGTTTACATTTTGTATTGAAATGCAACAGTGCAGCTTGGAAAAGAAAAAAAAATGAAGTTAGAATGCTCTAACATATAACAAAATTGACAATTCTAAAATATTTCCACTAAATTTTTACATAAAATTGATGAGTAAAGTTGATTTTTCTTTACTTTAGATGGCTTCCTGTAAAATATAGGGAAGATCAAACAAATTTTTTTGGAAAGCGAGGAATAACTTGGCACATCACTGTTGTTTCACGCAAGAAAGAACAAGAGTTGAACAATATTACTCAGATTAATTATGATCAAGAAGATGAAATTTATGTTCAAGGTCATCAACAAGCTCTCGTTGATGAAGATAATGACGAAGAGAGTGAAATTGATCGTGAATATGAAAAAAGTAAACAAATGATACATATGAAATTTCTTTTTTTAATTTTTTATTAATATTTATTATTCTCATGCTGTCAGCTCAAGTGCTCTACAAAGTTATTTATTTGATTTTTTCATAGGTTTCAGGATCATACTTTTCATTTTATATTTTTTTAAAAGAAAATGGTCCACTATTTGACGTTTTTTGAAACGAATGCAATGCGTACTCATTTTATGAAAGTATTTCGTACTGCATGCTGAGCTTTTCTTCTATTAGTAAATCAATCGTGTGATTAGAAACTCGGGATCTTGGCGTATGGAACGGTTTTTTTTGCATTAAAATTAAGCATTAGAGAGATTTCGAACATCACTAATATTGCTTCAGAAATATAATCTAATTAATCATTTATTGACATTTTATGAGACTATTCCAATGCTACAGTAAAATTCTTAGCTATTTCAACAAAAAATACTTTCTTCCATGCTATAAATGTACTAATTGCAAGTCTTCTATAAAGCGTCCGTCATAAAAGATAGAACATAATTTGGATAGCGAGTCATTAATGTAAAAAGTAGAATATTATAAGATTTTTCTAATAAATACTAGTAATATATGTAGATCTTATAGAATATACTTCTTTTTCTTATTTTAATCCCAGATTCGAACAATTTCGAACATACAGTATTTGTTCATGTGATCGATCAATGCTCACAAGACAGTAAACTTGTCATCGCAATCATTGATGATGTATTGTCAAGATTAAAAGTATATGATAATTCAATTCAACAAGCTTGTATTCGCTGTGATAACGCTGGCTGTTATCACAGTGCTTATACAGTATTATCAATGCCAACCGTTTCCGAGAAGTGTGGGATAGCAATACGAAGAATGGATTTTGCTGATCCTCAAGGTGGTAGAGGTAAAATATGAAAGGATAGAAGACGCCTTATGTAAATGTTTACTGATTCATTTAGGCTCTAGTGATAGATATGCTGCTATTATAAAATCTCATGTGAGACGTTATCTAAATGAGAAACACGACGTTACAAATGCCGAACAATTCGTCGAAGCCTGTTTATCATATGGCGGAGTGAAAACTGTCAATGTTGTCGAATGTCAATTTAAACCAGTTCATCAATCGGCCAAATTTCAATTCAACAACATAAAGCAGTTTAGAAATTTTTGCTTTGAACGTCATGGCATTCGAGTATATCGAGCATGGGATGTTGGGGAGGGCTCTCTACTACCATATATCAAATTAATCAATGGAGTAAGATATTGAAAATCATTTAATATGACACTCAAAAGTCAAATAGCTCATTTCTTTCGAGTGCTTTTATTTACTACAACTATAAGGAAAGTCATTTGCAAAATCTATAGATAATAGAACAGACTTGAAGATCTCGATAAATTCCAAAAGTGTTTGAAAATTTCTAAGCCTAACTAACCTACATAAAGTAAATCTTTTGCGAATTTGGAAACTTTCGAAAATATTCAAGAATATTTTCATATTTTGAGTAGACTCATGAGACTTCATAGTACTTTAGGAGCTTAGCATCGACTAACAATTACGAAGGCTATCAAATTTAATGGGATACAACTAGCTCTTTCATTGTTTTCACCAAACAGTATTTTTTATTTTTTCAGAAAGTGACTATCGGATCGCTTGATCTAATTAAATCATCGCCTGAAATAATTTTTGGTTCGTCTGCCAACAACAATCTGTCATCTTCTATAGATGAATCTCTTAACGGTGAATGTACTGAATCGATCGATCAAATTGCCAACATATTTGAATGTCCAGAGGAGGCTTGCATATCCTCATTTGTGAAATATGGAAATCTACTTAGACATCTTGCAGTTGGTAATCATCGTCATATACCTGAAAAAGTAACTTTAATGGACACAGCGAAAAAAATGTTTCATTCAAGATTAGCAAATGCTGACAATAAAAGAATTATTTCATTGTCTCCAAATGATTTTGTATTTGATTCGAATAACTGTGATCAAGTGCCTGAACTCACTGTCGGATGGGCACTTCCGGTGACGCGTCCTCCTGTTCGGTTTACTAACAAGCAAAGGAAATTTTTAGATGTGAGTAACACTTATATGTAACTCTTCTATACTCTGCCTTCATTTTATACATTTTTCATCCCATTAACAGCTTTCTGTCTTTTGTAGGAAAAGTTCAACGATGGAATTTTATATGGTCGCTTCTGGAAACCAGAAACCGTTGTTAGTGAAATGCAAAATGCTAAATCATCTCAAGGAAAATTTATATTCGATATCAACGAATGGTTAACAACCAGCCAAGTACGTGGTTACTTCAGTCGTATTCGATCAATCAAGACCCAAAAGAACGCTCAACTTTCATCTTCTACTGCGTCGAATCATGCAATTTATACAGAAAGTGAACAAGAAGAAGGACAAGACTTGGACGAAGATGCTAGCGCTGAAGTTCGAATAATAGTTCATATTTTTTTAATCTGCAGCTTTTTTTTTCGTTATCTAGGAATCTCTCAAAGATGATGTAGCAGTCGACGAAGCCATCGAACGAATTACATTTATGACACAAACAAACCAAGTCGTAGAAAGAGCAAGCAAAGAAAAACGTCCATTATCATCAGTACAAAATGAGCAAAATATACCAAAACGTTCGACTAGTTCACAAAGCCGAAAATATCAATAGAATATGAGAAAAACAGACTCGAAAAAAAACTCAGTCATAGAGATATCTATGAAATTTATTAAGCAGCATAACTACATCCTTTAACTTGAACAAACTGAAATTAATTCCCATATATAAAATAATTTTCACTGAAGTCGTTAAGAAAACATGATTGAACGTGAAGCTTACTCTATTCATGCATCTTTTAAAGTTGCATTGGAGAATAAGGAACAAATCCGATTCACAGCTTGCATAAGGAAAGCGTCACAAAAACACGAGGAGAGACGATGATACTTAGTTTTCATCACTGNGTGAAGTTTTCAAGAAAATTTTCTTTACCTCTTTTTCAACGACGTATCAACAAAATTTCAACAATTATATTATCTCAAGCTTATTTATTTTTACAAATGTTGGCTTGCACTTATAGGAATTGCTTCAATTCAATGTATACTTGATTACGTTCTTCAATAGCAGAAAAAAAGGTAAGAGATTAATTTCTTATTTTTGCAATTATTATATGAAAGGGATGAAATAGACATATTGAAGGTTTGTGGTCGAGCATTGATAATCAATAAGCTGAGCGTTTGTCTTATTAAAAGATACAAGGTAGTGCTTGTTTTGATGGGATTCTTTTTCTTGCAAAATGTATGGCGGCTTTGGTGAAGAATGAGATTTCTAATAAAAATGACGATTTGCTTGAATCGTCAAATAATTGATGTTATTCACCAAGTGAGCACTATTCAAAATAAAATTTATCGAAGTGTTTATTTTTCTCAAATACAGAGCTCAACAACTGTTGTATGTAATTCTAAAGTATATCGGGTATTTTTGAGAAGCTTTTTCGTGATACGGATGACAAAAATAGTTGAAGTGAATCTTACATTTTTTTTGTCTCAATCTGATTTAGATTTTTTGATTCTTTTCAAATTATTTTAGATACCAAAATGTTTGATCAAAAATGTTTTTTTTCAAACCAGGGAGTTTGTAGCAATGATGTCGTATCATTATCTGATCTTCGATTTGAAGAAAATAATATGAAATGTTTTCCAGGTGCAAATACACTTATTGAAGTTTTATTGCTTTCTGACGATCTTTTTTATCAAGATCGTCTCTCGTTACCTTCTACGTTTATTTGTTCTGACCACAAAGAAAAGCTTCTGAAAAAACATTTGGTATTATCTTATAGAAAATGCTGGTTGTGTATGTCGCTTCAGAAGCCAACACCTGTAAGATTTTCACTTTATTTGCTTCAATCTGTAACCACACTGTGATTTTCCTATTTGATAGAATGTATCTGAACGTAATATTAATCCTATTCAAGCTTTAACTATTTTTGAAAAATTCGATATTCCTCACTCTTACGGCAAAACAATTTGTGGCAGTTGTCGAAAGTCCTTAACGGCACATAATGATACTAATAAGATTGTAAAACATAAAAAAGCTTTCGAATGGCTCGCTGATGTCGTATTTAGTGATAATGACACTAATGATACTCAGTCTCATGGTAATTATGAAGAATATCAATTAAATTCGTCACCAAGCAGCAGTGTTGAATCTACATTAAACCTAAATAAGAAAAAAAGAGAACTACTGAATGAATTTTTGTACTTATGCAAATCAAAAGTAGAGATAAAAACGACTAATGCATATCACAAACTGCAAAAGCAATCAAGAGCAAATTTTCTCGCATCAGCTCGCAATTTAATTCAACATATTATGAAATTTTTAGCTCAAGACGACTCAAATGACGTGAAACAAGATTTGTTTCTTTTTGAAAATGGTAACTCTAATAACATTTCAAGATTTCTTAGAATGTTTTTTGTCATTGTAGAGTCGAACATAACTGTGTATGATCGTCAGCTGGTACCTGTCATGAATGGCATAGCTGAAGCCTATGAGAATGCTGTAAATTCATATACTCGTCGATCTATACTATCAATTGTAGCACCTAAAATAAATTTCTCAATTATACAATCATTTATACCGAACATTACTTATTACCGATTTGTTGCCGCTCGATTACATGCTACGAGGGCGGGTTCAGGTGCATTGATTGAACGTCCTCCTCGTGTTGTTTGTCGATTCGAACCAGCGCAAGTTCAGCATTTTATCGATTTTATTTTGAGCAATTATGTATGTACAGACATTCCGTTTGGGGAGCGAACACTAACATTATCTGATGGCACAAAGTTACATGTTCCTGATACAATCAGAAATTATGATTCCACACGGATTATAATGCAATATTACAAGTATACTACAGAATATTTTCCTGGATTTTCTGTTCTGCAAGAATCAAGTCTATTTAAAATTTTGTCTGAATGCAAAGCATCTACTAGAAGAGCAGTTAGCGGTTTAAATTACTTTGCTGCCAACGGTAGTGAAGCATTCGACAGAATTATAGAGTTAATTAATGATCTTAATATTGATGCAAATGAACGTTCTCGTCTTGTCAATAATATAAGAAAAGGCAAACAATATTTGAAAACGGACTTCAAAACCAATGTAGCACGTACATCAAGTGTTCCTGATCATTGTATATGTTTTTCGCTCAGTGATCCTACGTCCAATGCTTTTTCAATGTCATGTTCTGATCATAAACATGATCAAGTATGTTCTGAGTGCTTTTATCTCGCACAAGCATTGCAAGATAGCAGTCAAGCAATCGAAAACAGTATAAATGACGAAGAAGAAGTTAAACGAACAATGTACAAGTTTACTCTTGCTTATGATGCTATTCAAGCTTGGAAATCCCATCAGTTACGGTCTGTTAATCAAGATCTCGGAAGGGAATGCATTTTAGATGTTTTGGGTGAAGATACAATCTACTTGAATTTAGATTTTGCCATGAAGTAAATATAACTGATCTTCTTATCCTTGTTTTTTTAAATAGCTATATTTCGTAACCTTTGTTGCTCTTGGGGAGATTTATTTCAAAGGTGTTAAATATAACGATTTATAACATTGAATAATGTCTACTAAAATTCGCATTTGTATACTATAGAACAGGA